GTGAGAAAGCAAGCCACTAGGTCTGGGACTCAAATCGCAGTCAGCCATGGGAGAGTCCAGTGCCATTAACCACCACACCACCTGCTGGCACCCAGGCTAACGTTTGAGAATCATTACTTTAGTGAATTCTGGGACCCTTCCCTACTCAACCATTGCTTGCTCAGGAAACTACAAGTCAGAAAAAGCTGACACTTATGACCAAGAGGTAACCTAAGGAAGTCTAGAGCGACTCTTCCCCGAGGAGAGGGACCCAGGAGAGAAGAATCACAAATGGCTCCATGGTTTGTCTCCCAGGGATAAGCAGTAGGCAGGTCAGAGATCTCTTCTGCATACTTCCTGCCCTTGAGGAGTTAACTGATTAGGGAACAGACATGCCATTGATCAATTTGTCTAACAAGCTTCTAAGGGGATACAGCCTCCAGGGCACAACCTGTAAGTCATCAACTTATAGTTTCCTTGAACCCAAATGCAAGACCAAAGACACTCAAGTCTTCTCCAAGGGAAATCAACCAGGCCTGCTACTTCATGTCTGGCTCTGTCTCCCTGCTCTTTTTTGGAGAAGATCTGTTTTCATCACCCATTTCCATGGGACAACAAGGTTTGAAGGAATCAGCCCCTGAGGTGTGTCCGTGTTGCCAAGTCTGGCTAGCACAGTAAGTGTTGAGGAAAATATGAAAAGGATATGGTGAGAGGAAAGGGCATTGACTATTTTTTTAGAGAGATTTTTGCTGTAATGCATGTGTGCTTGCCAGAGAGACAGAGACAGCACAGAGAGAGAAATCACCCCCAGGGGGACGTCCAAACTGCAATCCCTTCTCCTCTATTCTTCTCTTGGGATTTTGGGGATTCACACACACAAACCAAGCATGGATTTTAAGCTGCTGGGTCCAGGATTTGAACCATGACCAACAACGTGGGAGCCCAGTGATGTAACCATTATGCTATCTGCTGGTCTCAACTATTTTTTTTAAAAAAATTATTTATTATTATTATTTTTTATTTGACCAGAAAAAGAGAGAGCGAAAGTGAGAAAACAAACCACTAGGTTTGGGATTTGAAATGTGGCCCACCATGTGGGAGTCCAGCGCCTTAACCACCA